ACCGAATCAAAAGAGAAGTGTAAATCATTAAATTATTTTAAAAAGGATTCTTTATATTAATGATAAACATCACCTTTAAAAAATTATTTAGTATAACATGTTTCTTTGAAAAATATGGCCATCTATAACAAGTCTTTCAATGTTGCATGTAACCTGTAAAATTAATTTCACCAATACTATCTAATTATGAAATGTATGATGAATTACTGAATCTGTAGAACAAATGTCAAATGTTTGATGTGGAGATCCCAATGTGCTTGGCTTTCCACCATAGTAAGTGTAATATTCTAGGCCAACTTAGGCCTTTACCTTACAAATGTGTTTAAGAACAATAAAACTGGTGTTACATCAAAGCCTCGTATTCCTGTTAAGATTCCTTCAGAGAGTTGATGCGTGCACAGATCTTAAGAGCAGGACCTAGCTTGATATTCATTGCACTCATGAGATGGTCTTCTTTTAGCAAAAGAAGGGCCTGTCCATCAATCTCTTGTGCTCTGAACTCATCTGCAATATCCTGGCAACCTGGAATTTGATAAGAAGAAAATTAGATTAAATTAAATACACAATTAGACATTACTCATGAGAGTCACAGTTATGTTCTCACTAGGTCTGAGAATCTGAAATATAGACTGATAAGTAAAATTTATTTATAGTAGTATGGAGTTCACCCTTGAGGAACAGAATATTTGCTGGCATTCTGAAAATAAGAATTAATTAAAAATCCAGGTAAAGCAATTTACTTGGAATTCTGGCTACAAATATGATACAGAAGTAATTAGTAAGAGGTAAAAGTATAGAGTGATTAGTCACTTCAAAGCATGCCACATATAAACCTCATGAACTCATCTTTGTGTATCTTTGTATAATATATTCTGCACATATAGGTACAAAAGAATAAAATATGATGTCTTGCCATGAATGATGATAATCTGGAAATATTTTCTCAAGTATCAGAGTACCACTTTCATTATCATTTGTACCTTATCCTAACTTACAACCTTTGTTGCCAAGTACATCTAAAAATATTTTTATTATTCCAAGTGCCAGTGGCTCCTACATACTAGCTACTTGGGAAGCTCAAATTGAGAGGATTGTGGTTCGAGGCCAGCCTGGGCAAATAGTTCATGAGACCTCCCATCTCCAAAATCACCAGACCAAAATGGACTGGAGGCATGGCTCAAGAGGCAGAGCACCTACTTTGCAAGTGTGAAGCCCTGAGTTCAAACCCTAGTCCCACCAACAAAAAAATTATAAAAATGTTTTTATTGTCCACTCAGGATAGAACAAATCCCTTAAGACTGAGGTATCAATGTATTGCAATGCTGATGAATTGTTTTATGCTGCTCAATTTATCATTTCAATTTCAAATCTTTATTTTTTATTTTTTGGTAGCACTGGGATTTGAACTCAAGGTCTCATATTTGATAGGCAGGTACTCTACCACTTGAACCACTCTACCAGCCCTCAATTTCAAATGTTAACATCACTGGACTTATCTCTGTTTTTGTTTTGTTTTTTGAAACAGGGTGTCCCTATGTAGCCTAGACTGGCCTTGAATTCACAATCCTCCTGCCTCAGCCTTCCACTTGCTAAGTTTACAGGCATGTACCACCATGCCCAGTACACCTCCATTTTTGGTTAAAAAAAATCCTCATTGAAATTATGAGTTTTTAAACTAATCTCCTGCCAATAACCAGTATTTTAGCTCTCGGTCTAAACCAGGTACTTTAGTAGGTAACAGTGCCACTATCTACATGAGCCAAGGTTTTTACTACAAAAATATTTGCACATTCAGGTTATTCAATAACTTCCATATGAAGATAAAGAAACCAGTGGGTTAAGTAATAAATCAAGGGACCAAGAGAGGAAAGAATTCAAAAGCATGAAGGATTACTTATAAATACAGTATATATAAATGAACATATATAAAAATGAACCTAAGAATAAAAACTAACAGCTCTAAAATCTTTTGTTTTATTCACATCAGTATACTGAGGGAAAACACAAAGGATGAAAAATGGAAATGGTTGTATCTCTGGATACCACAATTTTACTAGAGTAATTATACTTTCTACTGCAAGGAGATCATCCTCTTATTTGTATTATGATAATGATGTCTCCCTGGTAACCCCAGCACCAACCACAAGCACTCTAGGTGTGGAACACATATTATTTATGAATCAGTGAAGGACCAAGTAAGTGAATAAATGATAAACAAGAAACATAAAATCCACTATAGAAGAACCAAGACAGTGTAAGAGTAATACGTTTTTTTCTGCGTTCAGCTGACGTGGCCATCTTTTCTCATAGTTATTTATCTTCCCATGTCCTCTATTGTGTTTGCTGTTTCCTATCTAGCATGTAGCTTTTCAATTTCTCTATTTTAATAATTTCGCAAAGCTTAAAAGTTGACCTTTCAAAATCCTCTACTGTATGCACATATGTATCACAATGAACCCCGCCCTTCCCACACAACTAATACATGCTAATAAAAATGTAAAAAATATTTCTTTTAAATCCTCTACAAAATTTTTATGGTTTTGCCCGTTTTACCATATAAAAGAAACTATATTGATGAAATGGGATTACTCACCATAGAAAAGCCCCTTTTCTTTTCCCAGAGGTAGCTCTCAACAAAACTGGGCAGACAAAACTGACCAATCTTGCATCTAGTTGTGACTTCATCCTTCTTTTTATGAAAGAACTAATGTTCTTCTCTCTTCAGTCTTACTTACAAGAACACAGGAAAGGAAAGAAGAGAGAAAGATAGGCAGGACTTATTTAGATTCAGAAAACAGAAGCAAGGAGAATGAGGACCATA